TATCCCTATTCATTATGATCTAAGATCTATATTGGCTGAGACAAGGTTTCCACTATTGGACAGCAAATGTCTGAGTACAAACATCCAGCAGTACTGAATGGTCATACCCACAACTCGCTTCCTATTTAATAAAATAATTAATTGGATAATAAGTATGGCTAGACCACCATAGCTTTTTAAATTATTTACTTTTTTATTCCTTCATTTGTGTGTGTGTGTGAACATGAGTGTGTGTACACTCAACGTACTTCATTACATGTGTGAAAGTCAGTAGACAACATGCAAGAGTTGATTTTCGGCCTCTACCCTGTCAGTTGTGGGAATGGAACTCAAGTTGTGGGGTGCGGTGGCAAGCACGTACACTCAACTGAGCCTTCTCAGCTATCCCTGACCACTATTCACTTACTCAAACATTAGACTCTTTGCTTGTCAGCACCAAATGTTTTCTTTTCCTATTTCTCTTCAGCCAAACTGTTAAAAGACAATCCTTAACCGCAGCAGTCTTTTTACGGCAGGTGGTGCCCACCTCTGCCTCCAGAACTCCAGTCCAAACAATCTGCTTAGGACTGCTGAGGAAGCAGAAGAATGTGCGTGTGACTCAGCCTGGTAAGTAGGAGGACTGTCATTGTTATTTTAACTCCTGGCAGAAGATGTGGGCAACTCTTCTTTTCCTTGTCCCCAGATAACTAAGTAGAGATCCCTCTTTAAAACCTCAGCCAGGTCTTGCTCAAGAAGAGCAGAGTACAATAGGTTTTGGTAAAAGTACTGTCAGACATCCTAAAGTTACCAGTCAACTTTATTTTTAGAATGCATAATCTACCTTGAAAACTGTCTCCATAGAATGCGTGAACAATCTTTGTGACCTAGTGATCAGTGCAAGCCAAGGTACTTATTTTCAGAGAAGATGGCTAAAATACCAGGTTCTCATTCTCTTTTTGTTAGCTGTTGGCACACTGTGGCCCTATTGTTAGTTTTTCTGTTGCCAAGTATTCTCGACAATATAAATAGTCATCAAGTGCAGATCCTAGTTTTAAAACTAAAAACATCAACCTCTTATATGAAACAATTTCTTAAAAGATAAACTCCCTACAATTAAGAAAAAATATAAAGTTTCAGAAGGAATGTACAATCTAAGTTATGTTGAATTGTGGCAGATAGCAATATTTATTTAGCTAAATGACTTAAAGAAAAATACATATTTTTATTCTTCAAATATTTTTCTCATGTCCATCTATATAGCTTGTTCCTAACTTGTCTATATATTTTGGGACTTCTTGAATCATAAACCAAGATTTAAGGTAAGCAAATCAACAATTAAGTTTTTCACAATACTATAAAATCATAAAAATTAGGGCTTGAAACCAGGAAAGTTCTTGAACACTGAAAAAGCAACGGGTTCTGCTAAGACACATAAGGAAAGCTCTTAGAGCTAACCAATCATTGCTGATGTGCATTGTGGGTAATCTATAGACAGAGCATCTACCTACCATGGTTCTCAGTAACCCTCGTATATCCACTTATCCTTCAACAAGTGAGAGCTCACCTGGGAGGTGGTGGCCTAGGTGGTAGTGAAACAGCTTAGAACATGGTATCACTTCTGCCATCAGAGGGAGGAGACAATGTTGAGATGATGCTGGGGGGATGTTGCAGAGGATGACAATCCTGTACCACTTTGTTGGCCACGATAGGAGCGAGGAATTCAAACTACAAGGTGACTGTTGGCATATTTGGAACAGGGGAGTCATATCAATCAAAGATTTCGGTACTGACTTTCTATGTAGACAACAGATTATGGAAATGCAAGACTAATGACTTTTAATTATATAGGCAAAGGTGATGAGACTTGATAATAGTTTGGACAGTTATAAGTCCTGTAATGCTCTCTACATTAACTTAACTAGGTCAAGTCATGTGCCCCTCAGAGGTGCTGGAAGCTAGTGGCAAACTGATTTTCAGAGGGGTTAACAGTGTACTGTAATACCCAGTGAGCTTTGTAAGAAAGGAGATGCTGATTTCATAGGCATCAGTAAGATGAACTTCAGGGACAAAGACCTACATTTCCCTTTAGGATTGCATAGTTAGGTTGGAAATAGTAAATTTCAAATTTCATGCAATATAGTAATTAGCAACATTAGTAAACAACTCAAAGAACACTCTTTTCTAATCATTTCCACTGTGATTATCAATTCTGCATAATCCACTTGGTGCTCACATGGTATTAAAGAACACACACAAGTAGGAATGCAAGCCCACAATAGTCACTTTTGCAGCATCACTGGAGGAATGTTCGTGTTTTCCGAGATACTATTTTCTCAGTTTAGAAAAATATTATCTCTTCTTGATGGTTTAACATTCGCCCTCAATAAACATAAAAGGATCCTAATGAATATTGGTGGGGTAAATTAAACTTCCATGTATGTACCAGCAAATTCTAGAATTAACTGTAATTTGAAAATGATCTTTATTATAACTCTTCCCACGATTTTTAAGGGAATGTAAGCAATTAACAAGGACCCCTCCCCAAAATGTTTTTTCTTTTAAGTGTCTTAAATTTCATATGTAGTATTCATACTCCATTTGGGAATAGTCAGAACTTCATCTATGGTGAAATAAAACCTATGTTGATTATTATATTATGAAAGAACAGTGAAAATCATGGGTCCCAATAGATTAGCAAAATCCTTACATGCCAATTAGAAGATGTGTTTCCAGCTGGGGAAAAATGAAACATGAAAAGATTTGGCATGCTATCATATTCAGAGAATGTCAGCTCACTTGGCCACAAATTCCAATGAGGTTTTATAAGACATACTGAAGCCATCGTAGCATTGAATCTTTAAAGAGCTGAGAGATACTTAGATGCAATAATAAGCACCAGATATTAATATGTAAGGCAATAACCATGGTAACAGCTGGAATGAGCCAAACCAATCTCGTGTGCCAGTATGGACACATCTAACTACAACAGTGAGTGAAAGTGGCCTATAAAGGAACACCTGCAGGGTGACAATAGCTCTGTACACTTGGAAGGTGCCACTATGCTGCGTCTGTTTGCCGTGCAGTAGAACACACAGAGGACACCATGTACCTTTAGTCTGATACTCACTGGGAGGGAAGCGGGAACGTGAGAAGAAAGCAAAAAGCTCTTTTTCTCCTGAGATGGCTTATTCAGAGGAGTTTAAGATAGCCACAGCAAAAGGCTGTTTGATCTGTAAATCATTAGGTCTTTACCGTAATGTTGAGTCTTTTGCAATGAAAACATTATACATTTCCCCCCTCAAAAATAAAGAATTAATGAGAGCAATAAAATGAACATTGTCGTGGCCAATTATAGATAGTATATTCAACACCTTTAACACAAACAATTTAATATTGATTTTCTGTAGTGAGCGGTCACTCCCTTGCAATCTCTGTATAATTTTATTCTGTGTTTTCTATGAAGTTTCTAGTTAAAAGGTGAAAAGTAAAAGGAAACATAGTTTCTATTTGCAAACTGAGCTAAAGTGCTCATTTATTTATTCATGCAGTTCTTGGATATGCACACATACTGTGAGATTGGGCCTGCTGTGCGTTGATTACATTTTCAGTAAATGTCAATTTTTGTGTCGTATTTCATTTGTATTTTAATAAATGAAGCTTGCCTGAAGTTCAGAAAGTAAAACAGCCCTACTGGTCAGCCTTAGAGACCAGGCAGTAGTGACACACACCTTTCATCCCAGTAGCCACATTAGTTTGCCATAGAAACTGGGCGGTAGTGCTGCACACCTTTAATCTCAGCAGATTAAAGAGGAATGTAAGATGGGAGAAGACAGCTCTAACACAGTCTCACTCTGAGGATTTGTGGAGGCAGGACTGCCCATTTTGGTCTGAGCTAGACGTAAGAGCTAGTGGTTTGCTGCTTTGCTTTTCTGATCTTCAATATCTGTCTCTGGGTTTTTATTATTCATGCTACAACTTCTTTTTTTTTTTTTTTTTTTTTTTTTTTTTT